ATTTAAAAACACTTATCTATCTTAAATCACGAACTCTAGTTTCAGATGCAAATATGCGAGAGTTGGCGCGTGTTAATACAACGACCGTGTAAATTTTAAACCGAGTTTGATGTCTGTTTGGCGCTCTGAATCTCGTCTTGAAACCAATGTTGATGTTCACAAGAGTCCATTAGTATCACAAAAATCTGGCAATTTTCATGTGGACTTATATCTATTTTCTCATGTTAGGAATATATATGTTTTCAGGGTTATCTCCCTATTTACGCCCAAACTTGTGAAGACGATATAGGTATTTATAAGGAAGAACCCTGTTGGAATTGTCAACCTCTTCGCGGAATTATATTTCCGATGGTATTTTGACCTTTGCTAATCACAAATCTTTCAATTTGAAAATTGTGAACACAATACAGGACTTAGTTCTTGATGCAATAGTAAAATATCAGAATGTTTTCATTGTAAAACAGGAGTTGCCTACATGTTTACTTTTTGACTCTTAAATAAGCAGTCTTAGTTTGAGTGAATAAACATGTTAATTCTGTGAAAAAGACTCCGAAAAACTGTCATCCCTGCCTTATAGAAATATCTGTAGTTTTGTCATATTTTTTTTCGAATAAATACCATTATTTCCGTTTGCGTGTTTTCAGTATTTCATGTCAACGTTGTTCTCAGCTGTTCATACAACATAGTTCTCATCATTAATATCATATAATCTACCCCCAATAAAATAATGGTACAAAGCAACCGAACATAAATGTTTTGAACTATTTTTTCAGGACAGTTGCAAATGTAATAAACACATAGATAGTACATAAAGTAATGTAACAAAATGAGTGAATTTTCTTCGCTCTCTAATTCATCGACTGAATACATATATACATGTACTGTTATTTTATTTCTTTGACAGACATTTAGTAATTGAACATATTAACACAACAGGGGCGGATCTAGGAATTTTGAAAAGGGGTGCGCCGCAAAATGAGGGCGCTGACCGCGGAGACGCGGCACGCCGCTGAGAGGGGGTGGGAGGTCCCCCCAAGAAAATTATCCGTCATTTCCTGCATCTGTAGCCATTCCAAAAGCTATTTGGCTGATATTTTCGTCTAAGTAAACGTTCGAAAATCATTGAAAAAGAGCCTTAAAATTGAGCAAAAAAGTCAGTTGAACACGCGACTCGAAAATTGTCAAGGCGAGCGAGGCATTATGATGGGAAAAAAGACGAATCTATTCCCTAGTCACTTCACTATTTAAGTCTTGTAACTTGTACTGTCCACACATGAAACAATGCTACATCAAGTTGCACTAATGCGCGTCGGTGATGGGCATGAGTGTATAGTAGTATACGCAGCCGATTCCACAAGATGTCTGTCTATAGTCACTCTATAGGATTAGGGCACCGTCAGCTAAACAACAAGAATGTATTTGAAAGTGGAAGCATTAATTAGACCAGACTGGTGTGTTTGAGTCGATGGTTTGAGTCATTTGGGATCCCTGCAACGGGTTGGGAAAGAACATATTTGGGTCTGAGAAAAGGCACTTTCAGCAGTAAAAAAGGGCACTGACACAAGGTACACTTTTATGGATACACAATTAAAGAATTAATTCTAAGCGACGTTTCGACGAGGATACTCTCCTATACTATTCTGTGGAAACGAATTCAGCACTTTAGAAATGAGAAACAAAAACCGTTAAGATTAATTAGTGAACAACATGTGGAACTCCAGTCCTTACTTTCGCCAGAAGATTATGAATCCGTACGATCTATACAAATCAAAGTTAACTCCGTACTTGGTGACCAAGTGAAAATCAGGCACATTAAAAATACAAAAGTTTTAAAGCTCAAAGCAACACCCTCTCCAAATCCCAACAGCTAGCACTGAAAGACTTGAAAGCAGACACCACTATCACAATCACCCTTGCAGACAAAGGTAAAGCTTCAGTGATTTTGGACACCGACGACTACGTATTCCAACACACCAAAACCTTCCAAAGAATCAGGAAAGACTCCACAAATTCTCATCTCATGGAAAGACAAAAAAAAGAAAAGATCACAGCAGGACTCTTCTACGCTCTGAATCCTTCTCACCCCAGACCACCATATGCACTTGCCAACATTAAATTCAACAAGAATCCAGTTAAGGCTTGCTTATTGGTTTAGTCCCGAGACTCGGTATATTACAACACAGCAAAATTCTTATCCAGTCTTCTGGCACCACTTGGAAAATCAGCGGAGTCTTACACTGCCGACTCCAGCGATTTCTGACAAACTGGCGACAGCACTACCAGCGGGTACCATTCTTATCTACGATGTAGTAGACCCATGTTCACTAATATTCCCACATCCCAGACACTCCAAACACTTAAACAGAGAATCAATGATCTAGAGACCCCACTGGACACCAACCTTAACACTGATAATATAATATCATTCAACTGTTACATCACTGTATAACTGCTACTTACTTTAGACGGGGTGATGAATATTATCAACAAATACATAGCCTTTACAGATGCTTTACAGATGCTTTACAGATATTCCCAATCAAACCACTTTTCTGGTACAGGAAAGTTGAAGATACATTTGTGATCTTCAACCAAAAGGACAACTCAGAAACGCTACTCCAACATCTAAGCCGTCGACATAACAGGATAAACTTCACAATGGAAACCGAAATTTGTTAATGTTGTGCTATCGTCTCTATTCATGTAATTTCTAAATTAAGACAATGCGTAATCCAATTTGTTCAACGTAAATTCTATTTAATTTTATTTCTTTATTAAGACGAAACGTGTCTTCTTCATTGGCGCTTTACATGTTTAGCAAGAACAAATGAGAAATTCGACATTTCTACCCAGCAACCATCATTATCAAATGGAGTTTAACGTCCACTTGACACAAAAAATGTCAATTCGGGATTAACACACAGTTCATTCAATGTCATTTCAATAATTCGCTTGCGCTTGACGAAGAAGATTTTTCCGCTGAATTAGAACATTTAAAGAACGTATTCATAAATAGTAATCCAACTGGTTAATGGTGTCATCGCCTCCACCACAGAAATCACGAGCCTGGAACGCCAAGGACTGACCACTCTGGCATCAGAATAACTATTCCGTTTAGCGGTAAAATCTCACACCACACCACCAAAAGTGGGCACAGACGTCACCTGCAGAACCATGCAGAACATATTAAAATCCCAAAGGATGTATATATGAAATAACTTGCTCTTGCGGCGAAAAATATGTAGGTGAAACGAAGCGACAAATAAAAGAGCATAAGACCCTAGCCTCCACCAAACCTTCGGTCGTAGCGGAGCATGTCATTAACAACGGACACCTTACAATTATATGAGACGAAACAAGAATCCTTGCAGTATATCACCACAAGAAGAAAACGGGGCTGGAACTAAAAGTTAGAACAACTGGTAAGGCTCTAATTAACATGTGGTGTACCACATTATTCCGTCCTTGGTCCCATTCTATTAACTCTGTATACTACACAGTTAGGCAACCTCTTAAGTAATGAACAAGCGAAACACCATCTGTACGCTGACGATACCCAGTTATTATATAGTTTTCCACCCAATAAATCTGCATTCAACCTAACACTATCTCAACTGGAAGAGTGTTCCCACAAGATCAAGACTTGGATGAATTCAAATATGCTGAAGCTAAATGAAAACAAGACTGAGGCCATAACATTTGGAACAACAACAAAATTGTCTAATTACAATACCAGCCCCATTAAAATTGCTGACTCCAGCATCTGTATTTCATCCTCAGTGAAAAATCTGGGAGTGATTCTTGATCTAGCTTTGTCTATGAATAAACAGATTGACGACGTTCGTTCAAAATGTGTGTTCCATCTCCGCAATATTGGTTCATCCGAAATCTAATTACTCCTTCTGCCACGGCAACACTAGTCCGTTCTCTTGTATTTTCCCGTTTGGACTACTGCAATAGTTTACTTGTCGGAATTAATAAAACGTCAATTTATAAACTGCAGCGCATACAAAACAAGGAAGCGCGGATCGTAACACGAACTTCTTTGAGAGACCGTATCACTCCTGCACTTAGGTCACTTCACTGGCTTCCAGTGCAAGCAAGAATTGACTTTAAATTGCTATCTCTCACATATCAATGCATATACTGTGAAATGCCATCTTATCTGAAAGAACTGGTGGTGCCTTACATGCCATCAAAAAATCTAAGATCAAGTACTAAGAACAACCTTGTCGTCCCAAAATATAAACTAAGCTCCTTTGGAGCTCGCTCATTTAGTGTTGTTGCTGCCAATATGTGGAACTCGCTACCTGTAAATCTTCGATCCAGTCCATCATTTGACTCCTTTAAATCCAGATTGAAAACATACTTATTTGAAAAATATTTGCAAGAGTGATTATGTGTTTTTTGTAGCGCTATGAGCACGACTATATGTGGAATTAGCGCGATATAAATGGACTTATTATATTATTATTAATAAGTTTATATTTAGTAACCCTAACTATGAATGATAAAAATACAGTAAGTATTACGTTATGATATCAAGTTAAAATGAAAATAACAACTATTATTAATTATTATTCTTAGAAACTTAGATATATACAAAATGACTTGATATTAAACCTAATATATTTACACATACCTAAATACGAGAACAACTGGCCAGCTTTCTAATAAGTTTTTAGTTAGTAAACGTAACTAAAGAACTGACTGTTTCTTGGGTTTATATAGTTTTGAATTGTTATTTCCCAAATCTATAGATATACGTTACTAACATACTAACAAACCTACCAGTTGGTTAATCCCCAACAACTTAAACTATTCTAATTACTACATTGTTTAGTTGATTATCACGAGAACAGTAGTTCTAATACGTAAATATGCAAATTTCAACAAAGCCTTTTCCGGATGAAAATGTACAATATTAATTAATACCAAGGGCTTATGACCAAATTATATTTACTCCAATTTATGATCTGCTAGAAGAATGCCCGGCTTCGCTCGGGGGTCATAACCCCGAAATCGGAAGTGGTAGACTAACGCCACTTGGCCTATGTTACTCCCCGGTCCGAGCTACCCCTATACCCCAAATTTCAGACTCGGGGCAGACCTAGTGTAGCCGCCAACCCCGAACAGACAGAGAAACGACAGTCACAAATATTAGTATAAATAATAATGGCATACAAGCCCCCATCCCACTCCCTGCTTATCCAGTTTTATAGTCTAACGTAGACAAATTTTACCTTTCTTTATTTTCAGTTTATTGAATTAATATATTTACGGTTTCCCTCGCATTCAATTGTATTTAATTGTTGTTTTTGTTGCATGTCCTGTATATATCTGTCTACTATTCACATATCTGTATCAGTTGCCTGAAAAAAGACGGGAGTATATAAATATACAAATAAATATGTGTTATAGATATAAAAAATTAATAATAAAGAATTGACTAAAATATTATATAACTCAATATACTGTATGAATGATCTTATGTATATAACTGTGTAAATTTATAGGTATCTTTTATGTATATTGTAAACTGTATTATATTACAATATGACTTTAAATGTATATTTGTATGATCTATAAAAAAACTATTTGAAAAAAAAATATCCTTGTCGAAACGTCGCATAGTATTAATATTAAACTCAGTAATTGTGTATCCATAAAATTGTGTTATTTTACTCTTGAACATTTTTATTGCGCTGATATGATTTGGACGTGTTAAAAACGATTACTTTGCAACAATCGTTTATCTGAGAATTTTTTCCACTATTCCAAGTCTTTACCCTCTTAGAAACAAATATTTATTTAGGAGGACAGACGTAGAAAATGTTTTTTCGTGTCTTTCATTCCTCCAAGAATTCGAGAGTGGAACCAGCTCCACTTAGAAGTAAGAATCTCTAGATTTTTTTGGCAATATGCTAAATAAGTTAGATCCGATCGTACCACTATATTACTATGGTACCGTAATGATATGAAATTAAATGGGGTGTGACGTCCTGCATTTTGGCACCAACCGGGTTACTATTTAAGACAAAATACTATTATGAATAATACACAGCAAGATTATCTTAATTTGATCTACAAAGCCATGCTCGTATTGTCCTTATAATCAGGCGCAAAACAACAAATAATCCAAAATTTGCAATATGAAGTCGTTTTCGGCCCTGTATTATGTACTACCATCGTATATACTCTTCAAAAAAAAAGTAGGGGATATTCAGAAACAACACAAAACTGCGGAAATGCACTACTCTTTTTATTAGAGGTAACCAGTGCATGTTAATAACAGGCCAATTGCCTACACATGACCATAAACAGTTCATATGGGCGGCTTATCTGACGGCCCCATTTCACTCGCATGGAGATACACAGTCAAAAGTGAAAATGGACGTTATTGATTTTTGTCTTAATAATTAGTAATTGCTCCACCAATCCTCAGACATTCAGCAATTCGTCGTGGCATGCTCCCAATCAATCGTTCAATCACGATTTGGGACAATCTGGCCCACTCCTCTTGCAGTGCCACGGCCAATCCTTGCAGTGTTTTCGGTTGACGTTGACGTCGACAAACACCTCTCCCGATCAAATTAAACGTAACACGCTAAAGCAAAGATAGGCTAAACAGTAAATCTTATGCAAGAACCGATAGGAAAGCAAACATGGATAGATAAACCAGCACGCGGCAGTTTTCATATCAACCCTTCCTTGAAGTGTCAAATTTAACAATGAACCCCTATCACGTGCATGGCGCTTTTGCGTGTCGCATGTGCAGCTCAGTGGTTCTGTTGGGGCGATAAGTTCTTCATCTGTAAACATACTCTCAAAGCATGTCAAATGTCCATGGCTATTTATCATATCGCAACCTGCATAGGTATTTGCATTTCAATATAGTATATGTTCTATATTTATGTAATTATGTAGCCGATGTATATATATTGTATATATTTCACATATTGTACATGTATTTAAGTAGAGAATAACTGAACAACAATGGTTTTCAATAAAACATAAAAAAATAATAAAATAATACTTTAAGAATTATATATACCTGGTATTGTGTTAAACGTTATTCATTGCTGTCGTCTGTTCGTACGGTAATATACATTTTAATGCATGGTGCTTAGCGAGAAACATCTGGCATCTAGAAATATCAAGTTATTACAGTCAATCATATAATTACATCAAATTATTTAAAGGGACTGTAAGGAAAGGTTCGTCGCTTACTATATTAAGCTAATCAATCTATTTTTCAATTCTCAATAAGCTTGCAATATCTCCATCTTCATTTAGTGTTCCTTTTTTAGGGTTCCTGGCGGGTTGGGTGGCCGAATGGTTAGCATGTATCATAAAGTCTGTCATTGAGTCAACTGGCGTAGTTTCGATTTCCGGGTTGTACGTGACAAGAAGTAGGGTCGCCTGTCCAACCTCGTGAGTTTTCTCCGGGTCCTTCGGTTTCCTCCCTCTGCTAAAGACCCCTACGCGCAAGCGAATTATTGAAATGACCTAGTTTGTGTCGAATGGATGTGTAAACCCCATCTCTCTCTCTCTTTAGGGTTCTAGTAATACTGCCCTTTACCAACTTTTCTGAGGTAAAACACCATCGGATACAAAGTACTTCGTTTTTTATTAAGACGAAATTCGTTTTGTTACTTCTTCTTTATCCCAGGAGACAACTAAGTTATTGGCGTATATCTCCTTTTTTTTATTGGTCATACAATAACTGACTACAACGTTGGGACTTTTTAATGGTAGCAATAATGGCATCCATTATTGGAAAAACCTATAATAATTGAAGAACTAAATGCCCCATGTCTAATTGTTCGTTAGTATATATAATTAATAGCGTCACTCAAACTTTGTATGGGTTCAATCATAATAGCAAAATTCAATTTTGTATATTTCGTTTCCGTTGAAATACGCTAATATTGATACCAGATGAAATTAGTGTTTTAATAGTGTAGCAAATTAGTGAAATATTTTTTCTCGGCGACTGCTGAACCGATATACTTCATACCAATTTTAAACTTCATTAGAAATTTAGTGTCCAACAACATACAGTATTGTGAACTAAAACAGATGGTTCTTCTGGACTGTCTGCCACTTTAATGTTTGTAATATGATTTTAACATGTATCCTTCATGCGGATATTGGTTTCAAATGTTAGTTTAATATCTAATCTGTAGACAAACCAAAACCGGCGATTAGTTTAAAGAAACCGGTTGTCAATTGAACAGGATATAAAATTTATCCAATAAATGTCAGCCTCTCCAACAATTCGACATTCGACCTTATGGTATGACCTACCAGGACAGAAATATCATAATTATTATTACACATTTCGGTAGATATGACAACTAAATCTGTCTGTTACATAAATGTTTTTTTATTCACATGACAAGCTCAGAATCACATCTCTCGGTCATCAAATGGCTTAGATATTGACTGAATAAGTAGAACACCTTCGCCATTTAATAATTGTTAATCGAGATTTTGTTTATTATAGTATGGCAATTGACAATCGAGACTGGCTTATGAAAACTTCAAACACTAACTCAGAATAAAGCAATTTGCAGGAATTTTCAATATATCCATCTTCATTATCTAATTTTTGAACTATTATAGCAAAGACAAGCTGCCCATTATCTAATTCGTACAGAATTCATCTGTAATCTACAATATGTACAATATAACAAAGTAAATAAGTGGAGAGTGAGAATTTAATTTATAATCTACTATAATGTCATCAAAATTAATAATTTGATACCACTCTTAATATATTAAATATCCCTTAGGATGTAATCCTTTAGGTTCTAACTTTATCTTTTTTAATTACAATATTTTTTAACAATTCTGATCGACGCTTATCAGCATATGATAAATATTTACATAGTTTTATATTACTGGTACTCAGTAACTGAAAGAATGTAAAAACGTTAGGTCCAGTGTAATAATACGGTTTGATAAACTTTATATGCGTACATCCTCAAATGGTGAAATTCATCTTCCAATTCCCCAAGCTGATAAAATTTACATAATCTTTGATCACATGACACTTTAGTATATCGACCAGTTTCTATATGACATAATGAATAGGCTGATAAGCGTATACGAGTTAAATGTTTTAATAATATAGACTTTATAGGTTTTAAAAGATAGGGTTGGAGTGTAAAATTTAAAACAAAATGTTGATAATAGATTCCTTAAGGAGATTGGCATATATTACTGTAACAAGACTGTTTAAAGATATCAAATATGCTTGGTTTAAAAATTAACGTTGAATATTTGTCAACATTTTGCCACATATATCCCAATCCCAAACAATCTAATTCCTCTTTAAGGTTACAAATCCTGTTTAATATAATATTCATTTTTTTTTATTTTCCTTAAGATAAGTAAATGATATCTACCCAATTCAAAGAATAGTATGTCGTGATTCGAGGATTGTTTAACAGATTTCAGCACCATAATTTAGTATACTATCAACATATGTATCAAAGGCATATAATGAAGTTTTGACGTTAAAATCATTCTCTCTACAAGTTTTAATAACTACTTAAGAGATAAGCTAAGTCCTAATATTAGGAATTAATTAGCAAATGTATTCGACTCTAATATTAAGTCCTAATTAGGAGATGATAAGTCCTAATTAGGGGCACGATGTCCTAGTTAAACATATTAGTACTTACCATCTCCTAATTAGGATTTAGTTTTATTTCTTATTTTTTTCTTTGACACTAATATGCTTCCGTAGGTTACTAACAATGAACATTGCAATATTAACATTATACACCAGGGTGTATACCTTTACTTTCTCTATTTCTTGAAATTGTGTCTGGTTTTGGTTTTGTTTTGTTTGCTTAATGTTAGTGTACCTCAGTATAAAACTAGTATTATCTAAACTGCATGAATAGAATATACATATTTCTATAAATAGGCTTATCGACCGTGACTCATATATAATTTTATTCTGTATGTTTTAAAAGTAGGCCAGGTCAACTCAGCTGCAACGATAATAGGCGGTACATAAATGAAATAAAGTTAGGAAGAGAATATGCACATAACTCTCCTGGTTAATGCTAATTACAAAAATAGGTAAATTGATGATTATGCAACTGTCAACTTCACTGAACTATTATAATATGTACTAATTTATACCTTATAAAGGTAAGATACTTATTAAAGGAATGCTTCTCTCTAATTCTGTTTCAAAACACCAGGGGCCTGTTTCACGGAATTTTAACTAAGGTAAAATCCAAATTTTAGTAATTTGATTTGATAATATTAGATTGATTTTAGTGCTTAACCAATCAAAATTGAAGTATCTACTAAAATTTGGATTTTATCTTTAGTTAAGATTTCGAGAAACAGGGCCCAGATTTATTTCGGCGTGTAACATTTAAAGTGGCAATATTGCTAGAATGAAAGTTATAGTAGAATCCAGTAAACACAGGTAGGTCTATTATTACTAAAACGCATCTTAGTCCAAATTGAGATCAATCAGCTCTAACTTAATTTATGGCCATTTGGAGTTTGCATTAGCCTTATTGGTTTAATTTCGCCCCTTTTATTTGTCTTATGAGCCACGTTGACTCGCTAACCTGGAGGTCCTGTATTCGATGTGTTTATCGACAAAGTTCATAGCCTGTTCTCGGCGTGGTTCCCGATTGTCAGAGGTGCAGGTCGGAGGGCCTGAGTGGCAATGGTACGACGCATAGTCGATAGTGCACTTAACAGAACCCTTGACAGTTGGAATTCGATATAAGAGTAGGCCCTAGCGCTGCTGTCCGTGCAAAACTAAACTTCCCCCAATAGCACACTGTGAGGTGTGAAATTGCATCCATTTGAATACTGTGGATGGTAGAGACGGCATTTATCCGCATATGACGTAGTCAAGAGTCAATGTGCAAAGTAGGCCTATGCTATTACATAGTATGATAGAGACTAATAAAATGGCGGATGTTAACCTGAAATCAGAACGCGGTGTCTATAACCGTTCATTTAAACTTATAAAAATAACAAAAATCTGTAGTTAGTTTACATGCTCTGCGTAGCACAGATAGTCCAGTCAAGATTTTCCAAAAAAGCGATGTTTAAGAGCAGGATCGAATTAACCCATTGGAGGATTGGGACATAGATCCCATTTAGTGCATTCTGGTGTATATTTCTTGCGAGTAATACAAGTTAAATAAAATATAAATATTGGACATTTTTTTTTACAGTAGAACTTTAATCAAGGTACGAATCCCAGTCAGTCCCTTTTAAAGAGAGAGAGAGAGAGAGGGAGAGAGAGAGAGAGAGAGAGAGAGGGGGAATTATTAGTGAGCAGAAATTCGCCCATGTATCTGTTATTACAAGTCACTTCAGTCAGTTATATAGAAAGATAACTCGTGTTTTCCTTTCGCGTTCGTCACTTCCGATTGTTGAAACATTGATTACGCATCTATCGTAGCAATGGTCACTGTGATAAAAAAATATTTGGAACTGTTTAACCAGTCCTATCACATATGTGATAATGACGGGCACCAATATTGTCCTTTAAAAACAGTCACCAACTAAAGGCTATATGCGAAACATTTAGCCAGAAGTCGATCAAGTTACGAACCCCAGTCTGTCGTATCATTTCAGAATCTCCAGCTTTTCTTAGTTCAGGCAATTGTCGTCATCAATTCAACGATTAAAATTAAGAAATTTTGAAAAGAAAATTATGTATTGTTCAAAATCATGGCTAAACACCTAATCAATTGATAAACTATTTATGCATTATTGCCTAGGGACTATCACAAGAATCAGACAATCAGCAACTGGTAGATAATATCAACTGTATTTTGTATTACAATGATAAGAAGTTTTTTCTGGTGGTAAAACTAAAACTAATATATTCAGGGCCTCACAAGCCTATTTTGCACCACCACCCCAGTTCAAATGTTTCAGTGACGCCCCCACCTCTCAATACTGTAACTGCTTTGTTCAGTGCCTGCGCTCAGTTGACATTTTATGACTAAAGAAATTTTAAAGTACAACATAATATACTTTTAACACCTTATCTAATTAACTATTTATTAAATTAACTTATTTCCCTTACAATCCTTCATTTGATGGAAAAACCCTATATTATATCTAGGACAAATCATAATACTACTCTCTCTATTTAAATTTGCAGAAATATTAACTGGTTTACGGGAAGCGAAGCCCGGTGATTTGCTATCTCAGCCTCCACGGGGGCTAGTTCATAAATATTCAAAAGGAATTTCTGGTACGCACTTACTTAGATAATTTGCCACCCCATAAGAAGTGTCGCCACGGGGCATATGCCCCCCCTCCCCGGCCTTTAGCCTCCCCTATGTGAGGGCCCTGAATACATAATATATAAATTGCAGGCTTTTCTTCACTAGATGTAGTTATTGACATGGTGGTTTTAGTATGGCAGGTTTTTTTTGTCCAATGACTATATTATGTTTTCACATATTGTTTCAGTTAATTGCACAGAACGAGGATAATCGTATCTAATAGACACAGAAACACAAATCAAAACAGACGATCTGAAATGTCAAGGTAACTGGCAAAGTATATAATTGGCAATATGCCAATTGAAAAAATAAATGATTACCGCATATTTAATCTTTCTGGAAGATCTAAGTAAGATGCTATAGCTCACGAGTCTTAAAACTCCAAAAAGTTAAATATGTCATTGGTGTTTATTCAAGTGGTTCAGATATCCAGGGTTTGTAACAAGAACCGGTTTTATAACGCGATTATTCATCGTGTTTATTTCACCTAGATTTTTTTTCCGCTCTGTTAGGTCAGGTTAAATACAGAGCTAGCATTCGTTTTCTAAACACGTTATGTTTTATTAAGATGAATACCGAGCTATTCACTTATGATGAAAAGCTTGCGTTGTGTTTCTATGTGCAACGCGCTTCAGTGGGAGATATTCGGGTCATGAATCACATTACAATGTAACACTTTTTTTTCTCTAACCGAGTTAATGTAGACGGGCATACGCTTTACACTATACCATGAGATACATGAGTAAGTTTTTGTCCTGATTACTTGAATCTGGACGCAAAGAAAAGATTCTACGAATCCTGGCTTAGCAGATTCGGCGAATCCTCATAATTACTAGGCTACATAAAGACAATACATGTATTTGCACAGGAGAAAAGGGTTCTGCACTGGCATCCACGCCGATGTGTGTGTGTGTGTGTGTGTGTGTTCCAGTCCACCGCTGATGGTCTGTGTGTCCCACTCCACCACTGTCGGTCTGTGTGTCCCTGTCCAACGCTGATGGTATGTGACTCAATCCAACACCGATTGTCTGTGGCCCAGTCCACCAATGATAGCATGTGTCCCAGTCCACCACTTATGGTCTTAGGCACTGACCAGCACGGATGGTATGTGTCCCAGTCCACCACTGATAGTATGTGCCCCGGTCCCGCACTGATGGTATGTGTTCCAGACCACCACTGACGACCTGTGTGTCCCAGTCCACCACTGACGGTCTGTGGCTCAGTCCGCCACTGTTCGCCTGTGGCTCAGCCTGCCACTGATGGTCTGTGTGCCCAAGTCCATCACTGTTGATCTCTGTGTCCCGGTCTACCACTGTTGATCCGTGTGTCCCAATACACGACTGATGTTATGTGGCCCAGTCTACCACTGATGATCTGTGGCCCAGTCCACCATTGATGGTGTGTGGACCAATCCATCACTCATGGTCTATTGTGGGAACCAGTCCACCAATGGTCTGTGTATCCAAGCCCAACGCTAAAGTTCGTGTGCCCATGTCCACCACATACCACTAACGGTATGTAGCCCAGTCCACCATTTGTAGTCTGTGTGTCACAGGATATCACTGACGGTATGTGGCTCAGTCCAATATGTGTGGTCTGTGTGTCCCAGTCCACCAATAATCATCTGTGGCCCAGTTCACCACTGATGGCCTGTGCGGATCAGTTCACCACTGATTGCTTGTTGTGCCCATCCACAACTGATGGTCTGTGGCCCAGTCCACCAATGATAGTGTGTTGCCCAGTCCATCACTGATGGTCTGTGTGTCCCAGTCCACCAAAGATGGTCTGCTGCCCAATCCAGCACTGATGATCTGTGGCCCATTCCACCCCTGATGGTCCGTGTGTCCCAGTCCACCAATGATTGTGTATTGTGTCATCGTTTCTAGGCAAAAATAGCAAATAAATAATGTGGGGTAAAAGCTGGTTGCTTATAGCCCAGTGCACTAAGGCCAACGCTGATTTTGAAAGTTGATCAATTCGCCTGAATATTGCGTCCATAATTCAAATCAATGTGAGAAGGGTAACTTTAAGAGTCCACATTTCCGCAACGACTATATATGTCTTTTTTGACTGCTCTATAAAATTTTGACACTTTCATGTCTCTAAATGGTATTAGTTAATCCACAGACCTTTGCGAGCGTGCTTCGCCAGCGTCATATGAACTTAATCCAGCTAAATTTTATGGCTAATATCTGAAACTTCCACTTGGAGATTACAAGAGTCAAAGTTTCAAACGAAACGAGTGGTAATCTACTCACCTAAGTAACGATCCACCATAGTTGAAAGTAAAGTCATCACTAAAGGCACATATTCCACACGAAAATTAACCTACATTTCCCAAGGCCGGAAGTAGGTCTTCAATAATGTACATATGTGGAATGAAACCAACGTTTGCATTTAATATGGTGAATGCAGTCCCGATCCTTTGTACAGTATTTTTCTGTATGTACTTTTACCGGAAGAAGACTGAACCTTATTTGGTGAACTTTTAGGCTGCACCGACTTTCCCCTCCTTTTCTTTGTT